GTTATTGCGATTAAAAGTTAGCGATCAGTTTGTCTGAGTTGGCCTTAGAGGTTATATATATCGTTTGTATTACTTTAAAGTTAGCTTCTACTCTTCTTGGAGGACAACTATTGTAAGGACGTTAAAGAAATTAATATCGAATGCTTCACCATTATACCTAATAATAATATTATTGTCATGTTTTGTTCTTCTTTTTTTTTTTTTTTTGGAAAAATTATGGAAAATAGCGAGTGAGTGCGGTCAACGAAAGTTAGTTTACTACTTTTCTTGTCCGAAAATATGGTTTACATTTCTATCGACAAATGTGGATTTGTTCTGCTTTCAGTTAAATGATTTAAAAAACGATTAGAATCTCAATCTTTTCCAATTAAACTAAAATCAAATCGAATTATTATAATTTATCAGAGAATTTTGCATATAAATTGACTAAAATTGACACCTTCAAATTAAACCTATGAAATGGTCAGTATTTCTTGACTTATTGATCGAAAGCTCTTTAGTTTTATTTTAAATTTTGCTGAAATCTTGTATGAAAAATTTCAACACTACCACTAGGAATTTTTACATGTGCCCGTAACAACAGTTTTCTTCTTAAAAAACGTTCGAGACTTTCAATTCTGTATCTTATTGCACTGTGAATCGTAGAATGGGTAGCCGCATCTTATCTGTATGTATATTGAAGGTATAAATTAGTTCGATCGGTTTTTAGCCGATCAAAATGCCTTTGTTTCGGAATAAAATCAATGATCAGATCAATCAAAGTATTGCCCATCGCTGGTTATTAATTTTCAAGGTTATCACCCACCCATATCAACGGGAAGGAATAACGTCTGCTTTCGACAGTGGGAAGAGGAGGATACTGAAGATTAGAACTGCAGATTTTTCTTGAGCGAGTTTTGAGCTACGGCTTTGGCCATATCGCGCCAATTTTTTATCGTAGTTCCATCAAGTATTGTTGGTCCGTGACTTAGTTACAATAAACTATAATGTACCATGGCTAGCTGAAACGCCAATAGGGCCAACATGGATATTGACCTTTATCGTGGATGCTATTGGTTCGCATGGTCCGCACCATGGATATGTAGGCCCTGCACACCGTAGCGCGTTGTTTTAACAGCGCTATCCCTTAATCAGGAAAAGTAAAGCTTTCCGCAAATTGTGTTTTATTTTCTATTATGCATCATTTAGCACATCTGCTCAAAGCTTTAATGCGATCATTTATACAGTTTTGTATAACTTCAAGGCAGTACTTTAAAAAGAAAAAGTCTCAGTTTTATTCTCTAACCTACAGGATAACTTGTACTCTCTCTCAGAGAACGGGCCGAACTAATTTGTATATATATGTGGATATATATATGGATATGTGCTATATATAGTTTTGATTTGCTTAAAATTTCGAGCTCGCCTGTCCCATCACATTTGTAAGGCTTGCAAAGATTGAAGCAGAACTGCACATTTTAAGAGGCAAAAGATCCTCACTTACAGCCCATAGGAACTAAATGATTACTATACGTACAACATCTGTTGATTAATTTTCCTGACCGGAATTGCAAAGAGATTTTCAAATGTTTAAAAATTGATACTAAACGGCTTTACTCCCACTATTTGCAAATGCAAATAAAAAGCAAAAATGTTCTTAATTATTGTTCTTAAATGAATGGTTGTTCCTACGCAGCGTTTATAAAGCGGTAGCAATTATGCATGTGTCAAAAGTATTTAATTGAAAAAAGTTACATTTTTCTTTGGATAAGTTAAAATGACATCCACCGTTGTACGCTTTTAAGAAAATTGTGCAGTTGTGCAGTTGAAAGGTTTCAAATGAAATTTACTGACTTCTAAAGAATATAAACAAATTCTACTCTTAATAACATTGACGTAGTTGTTGCCGTTTTTCACATCAGCGAATGTCATGAAGCAAGGCATGTCCGTCTTATTCGAAAGCTTTTGAAATAATTTTTCTTTTTTTAGTAGATTTACATTTCATAACAGATGTTTTCCCTTTAATTACCAGACAGGCCAATATGAAAGCAGAAATTTTATATAGAAAATTTATTATTACGAAGAAGTAAGAAAATGGTGATTAAAAATATTTTAATCGAATTTGTGTCCATCGTTTGCTATATATTTTTATGCCAGCTAATCGATCACTCAAAATATGTCCCCTATAGGTGTAACTAGGCGCTGATGATCAGTGAAAGGAGTGACGAAAGAGCAAGAAACTGAGAGTGGCCACAGTGGTCACCGTTAAAATCGACTTAGTAATTGCGCTTCCTATCTGCTTGGCAACGCGGCAGCCCAGCCTGGCAATATGTGGATGCGACGCCTTTCAAACCATCCCTGTGTTGTTATGAATCATTTTTCAAGTCGTACGAGCTAAGGATAATAGGAAACCTTCGAAATTGGTACTGTTAGGAGTTGCAAAAACTTTGTGAAATTTCAGCGAATGGCATGAATTAGGCAGCTTGATAGTAACTTCATTGGTAGCTGGGATTTTCTGCGACCAGATTCCAGTTTGGCATTTGCATGCTTAACAATCAATCAAAATTTTCAAGGTATCATTATTTTTCGAACAGGAAAAATTAATATTCGGATAAGAGAAAACATCTAAAATATAAACCATATAAAGTAAAAGCTCCTTATTCGCGGAGTATACGTTCCATAAAAATACCGCGAGCACAGAAACCGTGAATACGGAATGGTAATTTATATGGGATCATAGGGGATACGTTCCTAGGTGACAAAATAAAAAAAAATCAAATATATAAAAAAATCAATTTAATTGAAGTTTTTGAGGCTTAGGCAATGGTTTGAAGAATTTTGTACGTTTCTCTTGCTTGGCAGTTTTTAAAAGCTCCTTCAATTCAGACTGATACGCAGTAGTCGCATTAGGAATTTGCCTCTTAAGATTTTGTTCTATAGACGGATCAATGTTCATAAAGAAATCGCGTAGCTCATTTGCCATTCTTAAACCTTTAATAAGATTTTTCAAATTAAATGTTACGTTCCCAGTTCTTGTTGAAGCCCCTTCTTCAATGGGCTGTGAATTTAACATTTCCTTCAAGTCGGTTTCAGTCAAATTTTCATCTTGCGATTCAAGCAATTCCTAAATGTCATTTGATTCTATCTGTTCGAACCCATCTCGTCCTATTCTATTCGCGATTTCGGCTATGTTTGCAGTCAAAATTTGAACTTGCAAAGCCGTCGTGTTGGGAGGTAAAAATGTCACTTTTATGTTTGGATGCATAGTTTCAAGTTCGCGAGGATGACCTGGTGCATTGTTCAAAACTAGAAGTGCTTTAAAGTCTAAATTCTGTTTTTTTAAATAAGTTTTAAATTCAGAAACAAAACAATACCGGAACCAGTCACAAAACATCCGCGAACAAAGAAATTTATAGCCGCGAACATGGAAATTGGGTCGCATTTTTTTAATCCGCGAATTGTGAAACCGCGAATAAAGGAAGCGCGAATAAGGAGCTTTTACTGTATACCATATATACGGACAAAAATTATCTTTGTTGTGGAAAAAAAAATATTTCTTTCTTTGCAAGCTTCTCCGGTCACTTTGCAATAAATTGACGGCAAATTTAAATTTCTCAGTTGAAGACCATAAGAGTCAATTAGCGAGATGCTAACACATTTGCGGACAAGATTTGTAAGAATTATATCTGTAGAATGAAAAGATTGTAAAACCGAATGCACGTAGCCCAGGAAAATTTAAAGTTCACCTGTATATGCCGACAATAGTGCGGACGATTAAAAATGAAAAATTTACATATTTTCATGCAGAGCGAAAGGGAAAATGCTTATCAGTCAAAATATTAAAAGCGTAGCATATTTTGAAATAGTATTCATATGGCAGTATTGAAATTTCCATATTTAGATCTGAACAGCAAACTTACAAGTTGTCGGCAAGACGAACTAATTCGAAACGATGCTCACTTATCGATGCTAATGCTAATAATTATAGTATTCGAATTGTATATCGTATACGTTGTATTTCGTACATGGAGAATAGCATTCAACATATAAGGAAATGGCATTGCTAACGATTTCAATTTTGAGCCCAAGAGATGGACTTCCTATATATGTATATTCTGTATTCTACGGATAAGATATTATTGATTGTCGAATATGCATACAAATAGAATAATACAAAATATTCGTGATATATCTATTTGCCTGACGGAATGGCGGAATTAATAGACCCTTCTCTTTTTAGGTGATTGGTGAAAAAGAAAGTGTAGGGTGCCGAATTAGGTCTACTTCCTAAATTATTCTTTATTCCGTTCGAGGCGAGCAAATGGTTTTCGGTCTTCAAACCCATTATAGTTGGAACGAGGTCTACCTTATTGTTACATACTGTATATGATCTGTGAGAAAACCGTGATGTTTTTTTTCTTTCTTTCATTGGTTTTTCCTTTTTTTTTTTTTTTTTTTTTTTTTTTTTTGGTTTTTAGTTAAATTAAAAGCGAACACAAACTTTTTTATTTGCACAATAATAGAAGAGAAATATTTAAAGCAGTATCTGCAGCATTTTTGATTTGAAAGGAGTAGAAAATGAATTATTTTCCCTTTTTCTGGCAGTGTTTCGCACACACTTTTTTTGCTTATTAAAGTTTTCCTACGGTTGTCAATCGTTTGTTGAATATTTCGTTTTTTTTTTTTGTTCTTTTTTTTATGCGAATTTAACAGCAAGAAATTATAATATGTTTTTATATAAAATAATTAAAAAAAAAAAAAAAAAAATTATGATAAAAAAGACGAAAACAATAATATTTTTTTAATTAGAATAAGCACATGAAGTATAATAATCTACAATAATAATACAAATAATACAAATTATAATAATAATAATAATAATAGTGATGATGATAATAATGACAATAATAATAATAATAATAATAATAATAATTACATTAAACATAAATTGCTTTACTTTGGTAAATTTGATTTGTTCCGTTTCTTACTTGTATTTATAATAAATTTCTTATATTCTTTTCTTTTTTTTTTTTTTTGTTTCAGTTTTTTGCTTTAGTTTTCTTTCGCACTTATATCATATGATTATTAATGAAAACGAAAAAGAAAAAAAAAACAAAACAATATTAAGCACCAAATCTTTAAGATCCGTTGTGCCGGAGAGTGAAAATGAATACTTATATGAAAGTAATGATATATATACCTAAGGACTGTAGGAATGAGAGACGGACTTGATAACATACGTACAGAAGCTTTAATTAATTACTTAAGGCCTAGGATAGCCTTAGAAATGATCGGTTTTTCTTTTCATTTTTTTCTTCTTAGTCGTCGTAAAAACTTCCATACAGTCTTTTACCACACAACGGATCCTTTGATTTTTTCATAGTTTTTCCTTTACTTTTCTTTCTTTTTTTGTTTCTCTAAATATCCTAAGTTGTTGATATACATATGTATGTAGCTTCTTCATATACATAAATAAAAGTTTGTTGATAAACACCTAAAAATCTGTATTTGCATACTTTTGATGGTGGCAGCGGTAACGCTGACCATGATGATGATGATGATGATGATTATGGTGACGTTCTTGATGATGTTGTTGTTAATGATGATGATGATGATGATGATGATGAGGATGGTAGCGATGATGACGGTGACGATGGCACAATAACTACTTTAATGAATTCGTTTCGTTTCCATTTGATTTTTCTCTTCGCTGCTCCGGTATGAAGCGAACGATGATTTACATATGACGTTTCATGTGTAGCGCCAAATGATCGGAACGCGAAAAGCAACGATCACAGTTACGACATTTAAATGGTTTGGCTCCCGTATGCTTACGATAGTGACGCGTTAGTTCATCACTTCTGGCAAAACGCCATTCACAACCTTCCCATGAACATTTATACGGTTTCTCACCTGAAATTGAAGAAGATTTGATACGAAAGAATTAACAAATCGGCTGACTGTTGCTCGGCTTATTTTTTCTTTCTTTCTTGATTGTTTTTTCTTTTTTACTCACCAGTATGTGTTCTTTGATGGGCTTTCAAATGTGAACTTTTGGTATACACTTTCTTGCAGCCCAAAAATTGACATTTATGTATCCGACGCTTAGCATCTGGGCCGTGTTCATGCAGTGATGGCTGCTGTTGGCGTGCATGAGATTTGGTGGTCACTAAATTGCAATATAATTCGATGAAAGTTTATTAGAGATATGCGGTACTTTTTAACAACAAAAAAAAAAAAAAACAAAAAAAAAACAACGAATCGGATTTTATTTTTTTTTGCTCAGTGAGAAGCAGGCATGGCGGTAGTCAGAAAGAATTATTGAGAAGAGGGGAGCAGTATTTGTGTACGGTCGACCACTGCTGCTAGATGGTAAGCAGACGAATCTAATAGGAATGGGTAGAAGCGCTGAAAAAGCCCCGCCATGTTAAAGTTCTTAATTGGTGGATGAATTTCTTTTATCTTTGTCGACCACTTGTACCTACACATAAAACTACACTGTCCACTTCACAGCGATCCTTAAAGGTAGTGAGAATTTTCGACACATTGCCGTCGCTTATGAGCGTTTCAACGTTGCGTCTCATGCGTTCGAAGGACTTCTAGCAAGATTTGGACACTCCCGTCCGCAAAGGAGAATAATACTTTAATGTTGATCGCACATTGATGGTATAAGTGGTACAAGTAACACATGCAATAAAGATTTTTTTGCACCGCTTTAAAAAAAAGCTACGCTCTTAGCTGCGCATGCTTGCTACGAAACTGGTGTCTTGACTTGCTTTGCAATAGGATTTGAGATATTTACTCAGTGCTTCTAGCAACTAAAGGTAACTATTGGACTGTGTACAAGCTATAATGAACAGTATTCACGACATCCAGTGCTTCAGTCTACTAAGAATTTCGTTTAATAAACGAGACACATTATGGTCCTTGATATCGAAGAGACTCGATTGTAATTTAAATATACTACTCGCGCGCAATTTTACAATCAAAAAAATTTTTCTTCCGATACCAGCCAAAATGCATTCTTTATCGCCAGTTGAAAACTCTCTGCTCATTATTCATAGCTATAGAGTTAGCTCGGTGTCGAGAACGGTACACCTGCCCATGGATTCACAATTTTGCTCCTCTCTGAATTACTTTCTGCGAAACAACTCCTTACGCTAGTTACGGTCAAGTCTGTTTTGCGATCTTCGTTGTAGATGAACATATGAAACAAGAAATTTTGCATTCAATTGTACGTTTCCATTAGAAATTCCGGACCGAAGTTGGTGTAAAAATTGAAAATCCCTACTATAGTGTTACCTTATCCAAAAAAAAAAGAAAAGAACTTGCAGTGAGTGATATGAGCTAGACTAAGACAAAGATAAGACCATGATGTCCGAGAAAATTTTCACTTAAGAAAAAGACTAGCACTGAGGACTGATTGCGCCTAATTTCCGCTTAGTAACTTGCAGCACAAGCTTATGCAAAGAGAGAATTCAAATTGGATCCGTCTTAAGGCGGCTCTTGGGCATTCATCAACTCGAAATAAATTTCAGGTGCACTCTAGGTTACAAATGTGAATGCGTTTGTTTGCGGGCGAATTGCGTCGATTCTTAACAACCGCTAAAAACTTACACACCTTCGCTTTCTACTTTTATTTTTGGAACCGCATGTTTACAGACAGACGCCTTTCCTAATGGTTGTGAAAATAGGAGAACAAATTCTGTATCCTTCGTTGAAAAATATAAAAAAGCTGTGGCGGTATATTTAACGCGAGAGTTTCAAAGGTCTGAGTACTGTACGCATTGCTGTTTTACTTACATGTCGTCACTTGGGGATTTTGCAATTGTGTGCCACGTTGTGTGATTTGAGTCGCTGTTAAGGCACTATTTGCCACGACTGTTGCGTTGTTTGCGGCCGCCGCGGTACTTAGTAAAGCCGCAGCCGCTGCTGACATACTCCCGCTTGAGTTACTTTGCATTTGGATAACACGAGCTAAACTTATGGCTCCGCTTTGCTTTCCATTGGTGGTAGTTAATCGTACCATGGTATTGCGCGGAATGTTGCCATGGCTTGTAGTTAGTTGATGCGTTGTATTTGATTGAGGATCTGTGTTGTTGCCAGCGTTGCTGGTTGTTGGCATTGCCAAATGATGATGGTGGTGATGATGAGGTACAACTGTGGCGACGTGCGTTTGTGTTGCTTGTTGTGATTGTTGTTGTTGTTGCTGTTGCTGTTGAACCCTTGACTGTGTCTGCTGCTGCTGCTGTTGCTGCGATAACGATAAAGGAACTGTGTTTGTCGTGATGGGATTTGAATTTGTTGTTGCAACCGTTGAACTTGTAGGAAAACGTACTATGGTTGTTGGAGGCGTTGCAAGAGTTTGCTGCGCTTGGCTGAGGCGTTGAGGTTGCTTATGAATTAGAGCATTCAGCTCATTGGCGTCTATGTGGGCTCCAGACGCTGCTGCTGCTGCTACTTGCTGCTGCTGACTCGAATTACCGCTCGTGCGTATCGATTCCGGTGAGGAAGGCGGTGTCAACGTGGGCAGAGCATAATCATGAGCATTATTATGATATGCAAATGGAGAACTGTGACCGCCATTATTGCCGGAAGCACTCTTTGAGGCAATTACATGCAATTTAATAGGCTTTTCGCTCATCATACTCTGTTGTAATGCGTTGCCAGCCGACGTACCGGCCGAAGCTACATTTTCATTTTGAATGCAATTTCCATTACCTTTCGATATTGCCGGTATATTTATATGTATATTCGTTTGCAGCGTATTCTCTCCTGCCCTCTCCGTACTGAAATCTCCATCGTCGTCTTCTTCGTCTATATGTTCTCGCTTAACAACTACTGAACAACTTACGGACTGAGAGCTGGCATTCTCCCATGATATACCTGAGCATTGTGACGAGATGGATGATGTTGTTGAAATAGAATCCAAATTTTGTTCCTTAATTTTCAGCTCTTCCAATATTCGGGCCGGTGCTGAAAATATCTCCCATGAATCGATATCACCGTGAATTTTCTTATATGACTGCAATTTTGGTTCGTCTCGTAGATATCGCTCCAATTCATAACATGTCTGCAAAAAACAAATGATTTTCATAATTTACCATTTAATTACAATTTAATTATTAATAATTTTATTTTAATTTTTATTTATTTATTAACAATAAATGTTGCATTTAAGAAATCATGTCATTGATTTGCAATTTGTATTACACTGGTTCGGTTGCTGCCACTAATTTCTAATAGAAGTGTACGTGTTTTTGGTTGGATTGGTAGCGAGAGGCTCAATACTTTTTACACAATTTAAAATGTATAAAACTGCGTATAAGAAAAAAAAAAAAAAGATGGCACTTTCATTACTACTTATCTTGTAGACTAGAAATGTATTGGATTGATTCGTCTGTTCTTTTCAATATCCCGAGAAATTGTAAATTTCTACGATCTATAATGAGTAACGTATATATAACCTATATGCACACATTCAAATTATAAGCTGTTTTAGCCATTACATCTCTCTATTTATCCCTTGCTTCGTCCATTTCCTTCATCTTCGCTTATTAGAAGGTACACCATCACTTAAATTGGGACAGAAAGCAGGCAATTGACTCTTGTGTCCATAGTGGATAAAAGCACGGAACAAGGAGGAAAATTATATTTGATTGTAATCGAATCCTTTAAACCTATCATCTTTATCTTAAAAGCGGCAAAAAAATTGGAAGAAGTAAATTTTCATGCTCCATAATATGGACTTATTCCCTTTATAGTGGTATCACAATAAACTTGGATAAATAGAGAAACTCTTTTATGTCTTTTTGTTCAGAACAATTATTTCTCACATCTCACTTAGAAGATGAAAAAATTAACAAATTACAATTTAGTAAATAATTATAGTTTAAATATGAAATTTTGAGGATACCATCGCATATTCGAATATTGTGCTGGAACCCAACGATAAGTTATAGTCTTTTTCATATTACGGGTCGCTTACGTCTCTTTTTATATCGATCACCGAAGGATGAGCTGTTTAGTCATTTTGTCAAAATTTTTGAAACACCCAGAAGAAAGCTTCAGAGATCCTACAAAGTGTATATATGCTTGATCAGCATCTAATACTGAATTGATTTAAGTCTATCTGTCTGCGTAAGGCTTGTTGTAAACATCCTTATTCTATTTATGGCCATCATCTGTTCATCTGTCCGTCCGTCCAACTGTGCTGTATCAGTGGTAAACATTTTCTTGTTCGCAAAAGCGAAGATATCTCCTACAAATTTGAAAAAAGCTTGAGAAGTAGTACATGTCTGCAAGGCCCAACGCTCCCGTGAAAACCATTGCTCTCCTTCTCATTTTGTTTGTCTCTTTCTTGTTCTTTGTCTTCTCTTTTCTCGGATCGTGTTGGTGGGTAAAGAAAGTATTCGCTCCCGGCCGAACATAATTTCCTTACTCGTTTTAAGTTTATTTGAATTATTTATCGCATTTCTGTGGTAATCAGAAGTCACTCGCCATTAAAAGCACATAAGTAAGCTTTCATTGTTTCATATTAACACTGTCGGAGCGAGTAGACAGACGTACAATCCCAAGTAGTCGGTGTGTAATCGTCTTTGTAATCCAGTGAAGGTGATTTCCGAAACTAATTTATGAAAACGATTCGAAAAAGACGGCTTCACATAAACACCATTTAAATTTAAATAAGAAGGCATACGCACTTCGTGGGACATTTGACACGACTACATACATTGGCGTTACAAGTGGGAAAAATTTGTAAACCCATATGCTTCGATGATAGACAACAGTGACGGAATGAAGAAACACAGGAGGGAGAGGCAAGCAAATGAGAAACAAATCGAAAAACACTTGTGTAAGAGTTTATGAAATTTCCGAATGTGATTGCATTTAACTTTTACGTCATATACATACGTAGACACGTATGCAGGATTGCATGAAGATCGCTTTACATGAATATATCCTACATTATACTGTCCGTATCGGTTTGAGCCTGCATGCAGAGCAAAAGAAGCAAGAGTTTTGGAAAGCAATGAACGCTTCCGTTTAGGTTTGCTTTCATTTGCTGATTGGAATTGAGTTCGCAATGCTTTTTAATTTTGCGAATGTTTAGTTATATGTCCCTTCCAGCGTAGACAATGCAAGTTTGAATATTTTGTTGTTGCTTTTTTGTGCTTCTTTCTTTTTTTTTTTTTTTTTTTTCTTGCTGTTTTAATAAAGTGAAAAACAGCATTTTCATGTATTTTGTTTACATTAGATGCCGTTGTTGTTGTGGTCGATAACATTAACAGCTCTTTGCTGTTGTTCCAGCTGCTGCGTTAAATATCGTTTGTTTTAATATGAGACTTGTATACATATATATATATATATATTGTATGTAGGTGTGTATCTTCATAACTATGCACGGTATTTGTATGAGCGCATGGTTTCATTTATGTGCAGATAGCTATGTGCGAGTTTTGTGTGTTGCGAGGATAGGCTAAAGGTTTTCTCTATGCGTGTATAACAGTATTTTCATTGTTATTGCGAATATTCGTTAATGTTGCTTCTGTGTATACACGGCACATCATGTGCAACCCAAACATCATATCTGCTAAAAATGCTTATAAGTTCTATGACAATAAACACTACAATAATATATGGGATGATATATATATATATATATATATATATATATATATATATATGGGAGCATGTTGTTACGGAAATAAGAGGAAAACAATAGTAATCTTATGATGACGATGATGATGGTGATGATGATGATAATAAGTAGGGCACACCATAGGGATGCAATATTTTTATTAAACACATACACCACCACCGCATTGTTGACATTTCGTTTGCAATATAATTTAAAAAAATTAAATCTTATGGAGTGTAATAATATATCTTATATTAGACTCTCAAAAACTATGAAGAGATCCATATTTAGATAAGACGGAGAAAATGCTTTAAGAAGTAACTATATTTGAACAAATGTTCGAATAGGTAATGAAATGCACTATTGGATCGTCAAGCAAAGTCTACAATTGATCTAAAAAATTCATATATTAGCATATATATTGCGTTGTCAAGGATAAATAAATCTATTGTTTACAAAAAGGCCCACGATTTCAAGCAAGAATCAAGTTTATACATCTACTGTCTACAAGCACCTAGATACCATTTCAGCCAGGGTGGGATTTGTAGGTCTATAGTAGATCTTTGTGAATAATGTACGGATCCATTCTTCCTTGACTACCTCGTTCTATATATGAATAAGGAAAAGCATTATAGTGAGCCACGATCCGCCATTAGATACTCTATACCATTCTATAGCTATTCATATTACACATATATATACAACATTTTTATTCAAAGTCGCTATATGAAAAGTGATAGGAAACATTGACCAATTGATGCAATTCGTTCTTTGGCCAAAACATCTCAGTGTAATACATGTCATGATAGTATCTTAAATGTTGTGGCCTGTGTATTGAACACTGAGGGACCGAGGGATGGACAGGCTTAGATCGATTCTGAAATTGATTAAGAACCGATTCGCATAATAACAGGTGGGCCTATCTCAAGTCTTTCTGAGCGCTATATGCATCCATATGTTTGTACTGCTAGACGTGCACAACGAATTTTATAAGAAAAAGTTAAATAATCTTTTGCATGATTTTAATTCGTTTTTATTAAACGCATTCAAAGAAAAAAAAAAAAAAAAAAAAAAAAAAAAAAAAGAACGAACATCAAAGCATTACCGGAAAACTGATTAATAAATTCTTTAGCGTTTTCGCAAAAATATTTCAAGCTTTCGATAGGACGCAGAAGGACAGACTTGCAGCCATTTAGTATTAAAACCTATAAAGCATTCATTTTAAAATTTCATTAGAAAATCAAAATAGTTGAAATTGTGTTGTGCTTGAAGCTTAAATTTTTAATTTCTATGGCGCATAAATAAAATGTATATAAATGCATGTATATATATTTTTGTTAATATATATATATATACATACATATGTAAGTGCGTGTGCATCATGTGTTTTCTACTTCAATATCCTTTACATACATATATAGCACATGTACACATGTCCGATTCGCTTAAGCACTATATTCATCTCTATGAAAAGAGAACAACTTTAGAACAATTTATGGCTCGAACAGACAAAACTGTAATGGGATATGTATCAGCAAAGCAATTTCATTCATGTGTGATGATAAATGTCTGGCCGTAGCACTTTGGCGTATGCGAACTTATAAACTTACTTACTGTATGCATACACATACATATATTTATGCATACATATATATATATATATATATATATATATAGATATATAGATATATATGTATATATATCTCTATATGTATATATAGAGAGAGAGAGAGAGTCAAACATACCACTTTAGAAAGCAGCAAATAAATGAATAACGTTTTCTATATAAATGAAAAATAAAAGAAAATACAAAAAAAAAAAAAAAACGAAAAAAAAAATTTAAAGTACGACTATATTGCTTGATTTTCTTTTAACATACATCTGCTCTCTGTGCTAAACAATTTGCACAAAAAACCAAACGCATATAGTAAATCTCGAGTGATTATGAAAAATTGTTTAAGCTTTTGTGAATTTCTAACGCTTTACAGATGAATGATTGTACTATGATGCTCTTTATATTGTTGGCAGATAATTCATATTTTGTCTGCTGCTACAGCCAGGAAAGATCATAACGATTTCAATTCACCATCAAACTACTATGTCCATCCATCTTTCCGTCCATCTGTCTGGCTCTACGTTGCTCTACGTTACTTTCCATACATTTGCATTCTTGCTCGTTTGCATTTCATCCCTCCTCCCCCTCTTGGTCTTCTTTTCTTTCATCCCTTTCGAATTTTGCCCATCCTTTTCCCTTTTTCCCTTTACTCATTGGCTTTTCAAAGTACGTGCGTTTCTCTTTCGGTCTGCACTATCGTTCAGCTATTCGTTCATCCATCTATTCTTTCGTTTCTTTTATCTATATTTGCATCAGTTCTTCCATTTAGTTATTTGCCGTCTCTGTTGAAGATGTTCTCAAATTCGCTAAATCAAAA